GCATATCATAAAAGTGGGGAAAGGGAGTGTAATGAGGAGAGAATGTGTGTGTGTGTGTGTGTGTGTATTAGCAGTGGTGTTAGTGGGCTGAGTGCATGTGAAATGAGAGAACCAAGGGGGACTGTTGGGAGGTTAGATGAACCAGGATGGGTTTAGTATGGTGTGTGTGTGATAGCAAAGACAGACAGACATTGATCACACATTTCTCCTCACTTGCCATCCATCACAGCCACTTGGAAATCAACACTGCACCTTACTAAAATAAATATGTTGATAAATATACGTTTGTAGTTAAGATGAAGCTTTCCCCCAAAGCATGTCCCTTACATTGTGAATTTCAAGGAAATATAGTATGTATGGAGACACAAGTTAAATGCAAAATTAACGGGAATTAGTGAGAAGAAGAGTTTTTTCATTCAAAAACATGTATTTGATCTCACAGATTCATACATTTATTTAATCTTCAACGATTTAAATTTAATTTACACGTCTTTTCTCTTTTGTTGATTACATGTTATTTCTTTGTCTCGTTCTTCATTTTTTGCAGCAGACAAAACTTTAACAAACGAAGTGAATACTTATTTTTTAAAGGAATTTTGGTGCTTCAGAGGAAACAGCTGCATTGGAGAGGCTTGGTATGGTTTGTAAATAAATAATTTAAAGCCCCTTTTAGCCTGCCTCTCTGCTATCCACAGCTTCTGATTTAACAGGGCACACCAACAGATCACCGACGAAAGACCAATCCAAATACCATTGGAATTGCAAACATTCTGATAAACTCGGGTAAAAAGTAATTTTATTAACAATGGTGCATCTTTAGATGTTTTTTGTTTTGTTTTACAGCAGTAAAAAGTTATTATTATTAAAGATGAAACTACATACGCGTTCTCTTTTCTGGTATCGATTGGCCGGGTCTAGCGAAACCCAACTGGAGCGTTGACGGTCTGTCACATTTCACGCTGACACCAGGCGAACACTGGGCTCATACACACATTCAACGAAGCTCAGACACGCAGCTCTCTCTACACCATCAACAGATCCGCGTCAGGAGAACAAGTCGAGGAGAACACGTTGAAAGGTAGGCTGCTATTTCAAAATACACTGTCAAGAAAAATAAACCGGATTTTAGCGGCACAGCCCGTGGTGGGGTTGTTCTTTAGGAAGACTGTGTTAATTTTAGCCCCAGTTCCTTCTTTGTATTGGTTAGGTTACAACACTTTTTAAACCCCCCCTAATGTATAACTGTCTTACTTATAAAAAGAAAAACCGAACGGACTGTCTGTTGTATCAACTAGTAAAATTGAATCACTTCTTATTTAAAGGGATGTGTGGTTTTGTTCTGGAACAAGGAGCGATTTTAATGGATTTGAGGCGTGGGAGGCTTTTCTCTATGTTGGTCGATGGAGGAGGGGTTGCCAGGCTAGCAAGCGACGGTACGCTTACGGCTAAAACTGGTAAAAATGAGTGTTAAAGTGCTAAAAGTTGTTTTAAAGTGAGCTACATGATAACTTTTGACCACAGTTAACAGTTCGGCGCAGCGATGTAGTTCGAATAACAGATTTAATTCACGTTATATCACACGCACTTATGTTAGCTTTATCCGACGCTAACCACCGGAGCTAGCGAGCCGCGGTCGCACTCTCGTCGGGTTGTTTTGGACCTAAACGTCGCTGAGCCACGGGAGTGTTTTGCACTACCTTGTGAAAGTGGTTTAATTAAATCCTAATCTACGGTTGCCGACATTGACCACGGTTTCGTCAGTGTTTCAACATATCACAGTAGGTTCTCATCCGCGTTGAGTTTTTAGTTGTTGAACCAGTTTGTGCAACCAGGCTGTTTAGCAACGTTACTTGGACAAACTTAATTCAAAGTTACAACACACTCACACGCCTGAACGAGCCGCGGCGTTTATTACGAAGTGACAGTGTAAACATGTACAGTTAATGACTGTTTTGGTTTCCAGACAGAAACACGGTTACCTCAGAGTCACTCTCTCTCACACTGTCGTTGTATGTATTTTAAACTAGTGCACATCAGCGTCTTCTGTGAGAGGAAACGATTGGAAAGCAAAAAAGAAACAGAGGAAACCCCCGAAAGGAAATGCCAATCGCAGCCGCTGGACAGCCAACAACCCAGGAGCCTAGAGTGTGCCCCCGGCTGCCCTCCACCCCAGAGCCTGTCCCTAAAGGGGCTGATTTATTCGACGAGGCGGGGGCGGCAGAGTCGGCGGAGCGAACCGAGTTCGGGGGCGCAGAGGGGGGCAGAGGACACTCGGGTTATACTTTCAGTCAGAGCGGCGCTAGGCGCTTTGTGCAGCCCGGATCTACAAACAGCTCTCCGCCGCAGTCCCCAACAGCGTCTTCATCTCTCCTCCTCCACCACCTCCACTCCCACCAAATGGCTATGGAGCCCCCAAGGACTCGATCACGTTCTCGCTCTGGATATTACCAACAGTACGGTACGGCGAATGGCACTGGATTTACAGGCAACGCAGTAATGGGACCAAACCATCAGCACCATCAGCAGCAGCAGTTACATTCACAGCATCACCAGCAGCATCTCAGTGCCGCTTGCGCACCACTGGGTGCTCACAGCAACCAGTTGGAGAACCAGCAGAGATCCCCAGGAGGTAACTCCTCTCCCAGCATCCAGAGGCTTTCTTCCGTTCCTGGAGCGCACCGCATCCCAGCAGCAGGTAAATGTGTCCACTTGTCCTTGTCACCGTGGTTGTTGGTGAGCTACCCTTGACTAATACAGGCAAATAAATCTTGTGTTTTTTATCATACCTTCCCCATGTCAAATACAATAACCAGAAGTTGGTAGAGAATTTGATAAGAGTTAAATGTCAAATATGCTGGAATTTTGGGTTATAGTTGTGCTGTTACAAATGAATGAATTTAAAGGGACACTTTTAATATATGATTTATGCGTACATTAGCACTGTATCCTAGTAAGTTTATATTCACTATAAATTAATCTCATGACACAGCCAATATTAATCAAAACATGCAATTAAAATATGATGCTCTCCTTCCTGGATACTGAAATGCTGAGAATTCATGTCAAATTTAGTCACTGAACATTGTCTCACATACAACTGTTTAGACTCTTTTCTGCTTTTTGTCTTTTGATAATGCCTCAAACCCATCCATGGCTTCTATGATTTTTCAGTAAAAGTCTTGCTTGTATCACCTCAAGAAATCTGAAATGAAATGAAGGATAAGACTCTGTTGTGGCGGGACCCCAAGAAGCATGCATTACTGTGTGCTATTCAACGTAGTAGAGTTTTTCATATGCTCCCCCTGGTGAGAGGATGTAATGCACAGTTGGCACATACAGCAGGTAACTGCATGACAGCCGTCTGTGGTGCAGACTGGAGTAGCCTTAAGGTTATTGAACTATTATGTGTAGTTTTTGTAGCTCTGTGCTCCTCAAGGTACCACAACCTGCTGTATTTTAGACAACTGCACAAATGTTGATGTAGCTAGATAACAAGTCCTTACTGTGTGTGAACTCTACCTTTTTCGTCTGTATTAGGCAGATTCTTGATAGACACGAAGGGAAGTACTAGTTGGACCCTTTATCATGAATATGTGAAGTAACTAACACATAGAAAAGGTCAGTGTTCCAAAAACGGCCCATGTGCTCATAATATACAAGTAACGAATTGAGATTTTTTTTGTAGTTCTCTTTTGTGTTTTCTGAAAAAAAAAAAAAACAGACATGCTTGTTCCATCATAGGGTTGGGCCTGCTTTTCATAACTAGATTTCCAGCATCATTACAGTATGTACTGACATTCTGGTTCGACAGAGTAATTATTTGTGCCTCTCTATAAAGCAGAACCTATTGAGACTGAACATGGCCTGGTGCTGTTGGAAAGATACATGTGAGGGCACTCTCACACAGCCATTGCTAGGCAGTGAGCAACTCGACACAGACACGGCACGGCACAGCTAGAGTTTCACATTCTGTCAGAGTGTGGGAAAGCTTTTCTCTGGAAGCCTGTTAGCACACCTAACAAACAAAGGTCCTTTCTGGATGCCCAGTCTCACATCATGAAGATTGGCTAACTTTGTGTGCTCACCCTTACACCGTGTTTAAAAAAAATCCTTTTAAAACCAAAGCGGAAATTGGACGTTTGTATAAAGTCCTGGTCTACACGGCATCTGTAATGTCATCATTTAAAGCTCGTGTCTGACTCAACATCTGACTGTGCAGATTTATGCTGTGTTTACATCATATGGACTGAAAATTCTGCAGAACCAAAGCTGATGCACATCACAGCAACTCACAAAACAGGGGATGTTTGTGCTGTGTAATATGATTTACCAGGTGGGTGCAGGGCAATTAGAGTGGATGGCTGCACAGAAACACTGACAGGTGATTTGCCATGTAAGTTTCAAAGTTTCAATCTATTTAATTAGCAGGCCAAAGAGATTTTCAGAATATAGGTTATCAGATAATATGTATATTAATGTTTTTCTTTAATTATGGAGCCTACCTAATCCCTTTGATTGAATTCAATTTTCACAGAAGCAGCTGGTAAGCTAAGTAATATATCTTAATATAGGCTCATTACCTACTCACAGTATGTTAATATTTGTTAGTACAGATTAAAGAGAAAGGTCTTCATTCACTGTTTTTATATATTGTCACCTGCGTCTTATAATATTTGTCCAATCCCTTCCTCTCTCTACTTCACCTCCTGGTTCATTCTTCTGCAATACCTCTGTACCTTTGTTACACTCTATCTCACAATTCTTTATTTTGTGTTTCATGCTTGCATGCTAAGTTTTAGCCAAATAAGGTATTTATGCAAAAGCGTTCTCTGAAATACACTATACACGAGCCAAATTGATCAAAATGCATAAAAACACCCTCTGTAACAGTTGATATCCTAGCTTGGTTGTGCGCCACCTCTCTCACAGCCTGTCTGTCCATTTATCCCCCCCTCCCATTTTGATCAGTCAATCTGTGCCCCTCTGGTCCATTTTCTCTGGCCTCCTCCCTCATACTCATCTAATGGAAGGATCGTTTTAATGGATTGCCCAAAGCAGCAGAGGGACAGACGTGCTTGCCACTCTACCTTTACCCGTCCACTCCACTTGTCCTCCCCATCCTTCTGTCTACAACAGAGATGGAAACATGTACTCTGTTTCTTTTTTTAAACCATTCCTTTGTCTTGTCGCCCAGGCAACCCCCTCCAGTTTGACTAGAAACTCCCTCACTTGCATTGACCAAGTAACAGCCGTCAGTCAACATTAACAACAAAGAGTCAATTTGGTCGGTAAGACCATGAGGAGACAAGGCAGATGACCTGGGGTTAGCCCCGAGCTATAACCTAAGGTATGGATCGGAATGAATGTTTAGGCAGTAAACATAGAGCCTGAAAAAAAAAGTGGGCTGGATTTGGCAGCTACAAGTTATGATTTAGTGGAAAAGTACAGAGAACAAGTTTAAGCAAATTCACAGCCAAACACTGAATGATAATCTTTAAAAGGAGCTGATTGTGTGGGACAAATAGCAGAAGTAGGATGTGCATAAGTTTGGAAAGAGGACAGGGCGTCATGTGCATTAAGGGGAGTGAGGCACAGAAGGGAAAATGAGCTGCACAGGTAGCACTCATGTGTGCAGCCTGGGAGAAGGCAGGGATCCTGTGACTGGAAAAAGAAAAACGCTTGACTGAGAGCAGATCAAGGCCTGCGGATGTAACTGTAGAGCTTACTGAAGCAAAGACCAGAAGTTTGTAAGTGGAGGTAAAGGTGCTTTTGTTGACGTGTAGAAGGTGAGATTGTTTGAATGTCAAGAAAGAGGACACTGTTTTAAAGCTGCTCTGTGCAATGAGATTGTCTGTGACAATGACCAAATATTAACAAATATTCTGTAACAAGTTGGGCATGTAAGATATTAAAATCAGTTTTCTAAAACTGGCCATTACAAATTACCCCAGACAGTCAAATGTTTTTTTTTTTGTCTACAATTGCCTTTTTCACTCTTCTGGTCTTCTGTCTGCTTAAGCAGTGTGCCAAAGGGAGGGTGCAGGCTTTTAAAGTTGTCAAGCAACTCTGGCAGCCCCGGAGGATTGTTCAGCTTTCATACTAATAGCAAAAGTATAAGCTTCTGGTTGTGCAAGAGCAAAAAGAGCAGACCGATGTGGAGATGTGTCGCTTCTCTGGGCCCCATTGGTCTTTGGTTAACACAAGTAAGTTATTTACAATTAGGGTTTTTTTTCCTTTACTAAAAACATTAAAACAACATATTTCAGCGTTGCAGAGCATGTTCCCAGACACAGGGCTATGACCATTTGGTGTCGGGCTGTGAAGAAAAAAAATCTTATTTAGATTTTTGTTTTGATAGTTGTCAGTTGTCTTTGTATTTTACTTTTCTGTCCATTCCCTCATATGAAATAAAATCTAATAATAATAGAAATGAAAGTGCAGAATACAAAATAATAATTACATGAATATGTTTATGTAATGACAAAGTTTCATGTGCCCTCTATGACCTCCCCACCCCTGTGGCTGGTCAGTGGTGCAAAAAGGTCACAGACCACTGTTTTAAAAGTTCATATTTATTGGATAATTTACCAGATACACGATGTTTTGGTTTCACCGTCCACCTTCTGTTAATGTGTCGGCAGCAAGCTGATGGTTGGACAGATTACTGGACACAGATGAGAAACCTGGCCATCTCAGATGTAATATTTGGAGTGGTGTGTTTACAGATATAAGTAGAAATGTTAAAACTCTTAGAGCATTCAGATGAGACGGAGGGATTTTTTTTTTTTTTTTTTGCAACGCTTGATCCATTGTGGTTATCAAACAACCGGCATCTGTTGACATCTGTCATGAAAGCCATTCCCCTAGCCGGACTGGTATAAAAACATGACACTTGAAGTAGCTTTTTTGTCAAGCATAACATCAGTGCTAAAATTTCACTTTTGTGCTTAACATCAACCTTTGGTCCACTTTTCTAAAGGAACTATTTCCTTGTGGTTTCTCATGTACTGCGGATGTGAATTTCGTAATGGCTGAGTTTGTGGCTGAGATTTATGACAGAAGAATAGAATGAAGACTCCTCTGTCTCTGCCCTTCTGTCCTTTACTTTGTCCCCACTGATGCTTTTAGTGTGTGTCTGTGTTTCATTGGAAAGGGGAGGATAAGGAGGTGAGATGATGAAGGAGTGTTAAAGGGGTGGTTGGCTGCGAGCATTGTGTGAGTGCTTGGAAAGCCCTTGTTTACTTGCAGCCTGGGTGGGCTTGGAGTGGGAACAGAATTTCTGAAACATGTAAATGTATAGAATGATGTCACTCCAGAAACTTTGCTGTGGAACTCTGCTGAGAAATAGTTGGTAGAGGTGAAACGGCCATCTAGTATAGCAATGTTTTTTCATTGTGTTTATTATTCATTTCTCAATGTATGTAACATTATTTTCTTAATCAATATTACATTTTTTCCAACATTTTTTTTTGTTTAAAACTCAGCCACTCTTGAATTTTTTATCTTTTAGGAAAATTGTGTTGATTATATATTCTATCACCTATTGGTACATCATCTTTGTAGGGTTAATAGTACTGGAGAATGCAGTCTATCTCTACCAGAACAGAAAGAAGGGCAAAGAGGAGGAACAGAACAAAAAGAACAGGATGAAAGATAGAATAATTCAAATGTCACATGTAGACACTCACTCACTCTGCAGGTAATGGATGGGCAGGCGTTACATGCTGCCTATTTTAAGCCTGTATGCCATCTTATTACTTGACTCTGCTTTGCGTTTGGGTGTGAAGTGTGCTGTGACATGTGTTCAGAAGGCGGGGTGATGTAAGAGGTGTGCATATACGTATGTCTGTGTGTGTGTGTGTGTTCATTACACATACGCTCGACTGAAATTGTCTTTACTTTCAGTATATATCATGTATAGTCCCACAGGTGTCAGCAGGGGGTTGTCCATTTTGTCATATGTGGCCTGTGTTTTTTCTAAATAAAACTGTCACTTATCTCTCCAGCCCATCAGTCCAACCACCCTTCCTCTTCACCCACTTTCTTCTCTGTGTCTCTGTTTTGACTTGAGAGGGGAGGAGGTGGTTTTAATGGAGGGAGGCTGAGGTAGAGAGGGTGATGGAGCTCATGGACAGAGATGTGTGATAGGCAAAGCAAGGAAATGTGGATGCTGTGAGATAGAGCAGCGGGGAATATATGGGAGAGAGACAGGCCAGCAGATAGGGAAATAGATTGGTGGCAGGGAGGGATGGTGATGAAGTGATGGAGAGTGTGAGGAGGAGGAGGAGGAGGAGGATGTGTGAGGAGGGTGTTTGAGCATGCTGAGGTGGGGGAGGGGGGTGAGAAAGGGAAGGAGAAGAGGAGGAAATGGATAGAAATAGCTGATGCACTCTGAGGCTTACAGAAAATCAATAGCAGTCAAGAGGGGAAGCCACCCCACCTTTCTTTCCCCCTCAGTGCTTTCACCTTCTAATGTAGGTTTCCAACCTTGTCCTCTGCCTCGATACGTCCACTTCACCGTCTTCTTGTCCTTTGGGTTTCTTTATGCTACACACAACCTCTTCATCCTCACCTGTCTCAACTCCGTTATTCCAAAGCACTTTCCTAAACATTTGAGATAAGTGAAAATAATTTGGATGCTGCAACGTGACCTGTAAACTGTTTGGTACTAAATCGCTAAACAAAGGTCTCACGCATTTGTCCCATAAATAACACTAGATTTAGCTTTCAAACTATAGGTATTTTGTTTGCAGGTGCTGTGCAGACATTTATCTGTTCCAATGTGCTCTAACATCATTTATTCAACTTGTTACTGCAACGTTGTCATTAATACCTCCATTGCAGTGCTGCTGATAAGTAGCCTAATCAATAACAATACTGTTAGAATATTAAATCAACAATGGTTTCAGGGCACAGTAAAAAAATAAATTCATCAATATGAATATATTTTGGTTCCTTTGCTGTTTGGAGGTGACTTCCTTTTTGTTTTGTGTGCACTAGGAGGGGTCAGGTCCAACTATATATATAATAATTAAATACATGATATATATAAACCCCTAGTAACAAGCTTTGTATTGAGTTTCTAAGGTTTGTGTGTTGTTAGAATCTTTGGTCAAACCACACGTTTGTGCAATATGTTTAACACTTTATTATATATTCCTAGAGTGTATATATATGTATATATATATTATATGTGTGTATATATACTATATAAATATATAAGTATATGTGTGTTTTTGTGTGTGTGTGTGTGTGTAGTAATATTAGACTACACATGAATCTCCACAATGACCCGTCTCAGTGGGACTAAGGTGATTCAGGAACGTGTAAAAAAAATGCTGATTTGTACAAATTTGGTAACAAGGGAGAAAACATACATATCAGTATCTATTTTTGCTTGTTCCCAGAAGAAGAAATTTTAACTTTTTAACTTTCCTCATAGTCATAGGTGTTGAAACGATCATTTGTTGACCCATGAACAGTATCCCGATGTCACAGTTGAAACCTTTTCTTTAGCTACTGTGTTGTGCTCCATGGAGTCACTCTGGATTAATGACTCTGTCTGAATGACGCGTCTCTGACTCACTTTACTGGACTATGACAATGTGCAAGTGAGACCCTATTCTGGGAGGGAGCTGGATGGTTGCCTATTGTAACCAGTGAATGGGTGTTGGTGGAGTCAGCCTTCATGAAACCAGCTGTGCCTTGAATTCTTCTCTAGTACTGTTCCAAACCATTTTAATGAAAATGTCCTTTAAGAATGTTTCCACTGTGCCTAAAGCTTTATTTTTACTAAACTCTTTCTAACCCTTTATTTAATCTTCTCTAGAAATGACAGAAAACTTTTTTTTTTCACACTTTCTCACACCAGTATAAAAGTGAATGCAGAAATATTGTTGAAAGTATCTTTTATCTTCATTCATTTTAGTTTAACATTCTTCATCTCATTTGTGAAAGTAGCCTTGTCTGGATTCCCCTTGGGAGTAGTAACCCTAGGGATGTATACCACTGACGCAGAGAACGTTCCGACCTATAGAGTTGACATGAGGAAGCAAAAGCGTAGAACGAATGGAAGAAAGACAATAAATAAAAACCGGTGGTTTGAGGAAAAACAAAAGACTAAAAGTGTTAGCTGCAGTATCTTCTCTAATCCTGGATTACTGTGTTTATTTTGTTTATGTGTGCATGTGCCCCAGCAGCTGCTGACTGATCTGTGTCAAAAGTATACATATGTGTTTCAGTTTACTTTGCCTTAGTGGGGAACTCCTGATCATTTGTAGGGATATTGAACCGACATGTCTTGTGAAAAATCATTTTGTGCTTCTATAGTGATTACAAATATAAATCCCTGTATTCCAGTTTTAGTAACCTTATGTTAAGCATGTAACAATGTTGTGTGTCTACTATGCTGACAGTTTCCCTACCAAGATTTATTTTTTGTTTTTCAAAAATCAAACTCAGTACATCGTATAATTGGCCCTGTAGCGGTTTGTCAGATTCTTGCCAATAGACACCCCTAGTAATTTACTGTGTGACTAAGTGGTTAAACACTTCTCTTTACACCACTCCTGAGTGGACAAGAGTTACTACTTTGTCCCGGAATACAATCCTATATATTAAGACCACCAGGCAGGGGCTAATACTCAGCTTTGCTGTTAGCTAAAGGACTAAAATGTCCTGAGCCCAGCATGTATAATGTGGCAGTTATGGCTTAAAGAGTGCAAGACCTAAGATCACTTCTTCAAAGTGCCACGACCTAATGCCTCTGTGCCTGCGCAAAAGGAACATCCCAACACCCACACACAAACGGCTGTTCTAGTGCTTTGTGGACTGTCGCCCCTCGCCCATGTCAGTATTGCCAAATCTAACTCTCTTGGGGACACTTGCTGACTCTGTGGAGTCAGCAAGTGTCCAAATGTTTTTTTTTTTGTTTTTTTTTTGCCGTTGGTGGCACTGCTGTCTGTACGGAGAACATCTGCTGTGCGGCACTGAAACTGCTCATTCCATCCTGGATGTCTAAAATCTCCTCAGTGAACCACTGGTGGCAGTGACCCATCATGCACCACATGAATAGGCCTACTATAAGCCCTGACTTTTTTTCTTGGACAATACTGTCTGTCTGTACACACACACACACACACACACACACACACACACACATACACACACACCTGAGTTTTAAAAGGTTGACGTAGAATAAATCATCTGGATATTTTTAGCACTCATTGTTGGGAAAATCCAAATTATAAGTTTATATATAAGTTTTATTTCCCTGAAATACTGTAATTGAGTCTTGATCAAGGTAATATTACAATAGTAAAATATACATTGTGTTTGATGAATAGGAAACATAAACTGTATGACGATGTAAAATGCTTGTTTCTCACTCACCCTCTCCCTCCTTCTGTACAGGTGCCTCTGGAGGAGCCTACCACTGTCACCCAGACCATGCATACGGAGAGGAGAGTGACAAGGTGAGTCATACTCTGCCTAATGTTCACACCAACATGAGAAACATTAGCTTGGGGTTTTTTCAGGCCCAGTGAGAGATCATACTGTGCCGTGTAGCATGGTATATTTTCTCAGCGGACACTGGTAAATAACAGCGGCCATAGTCATTCAATATGCTTATGATATGTATACAAAGTATAAGCAGTAATGAATGTGATTATTATACCCAGAAGGGGTAGTTTTAAGGGAGAAAGGAAGAAGGTGGTTAATGCAAATGACTTTATTTACTATATTGTGTGTTGATGCTCCTTAGGTTAACATAAGCAAATTTTATTAGAATTTTTAACATGCTTTGTTTTAGGATTTTTTTTGTGACTCCAGAAAACAAATTAGGTCCATTAGTTACTAAATGATGTTAAAATATAAGATGTAATGAGAGAAATTTAGTTTAGAAATGTGTGAAGGTAGAAAAAATATATAAGGAAAAAGGACAGTGTGGTTAGCAAGGTGTTTGAGTGAGCAAGCATGGGGGAGAAAGGAGGAAGGGAATAAGGCAAGGCCAAAACTAGGGAGGGGGTATTGCTAATGATTTCACCTCCAGCTGTGGGACTTGGTTGGAGGGAGAGAAGGGGAAGAAAGAGGAAGGCAGGGGAAGGAAGGGAGGAACAGTGGCAGAGGAAACAAAATGGGCTTTGAAATTGAGTTGATGGAAAGAAAATAAGTGGGGGAGGGAGGAGGGTTTGAGTGTTTGAGTGTTACGGTGGAAGCATGTCTGCCAAGTTGCAGTAATTGATCATGATTTCCTAGTGTGCATTGCATGAAAAAGAAAAAGCGGCCTTAGTGTTTTTTTGTTTTGCTTTTTTAGCACTCAGCATTGACAGTAAAGCCACAACAGCTGCTGGGCACATTCAGAGTGAGTGTGCATGTGGATGCATGCATATCCCAAATGTGGACACAGCGAAATAGAACATAGAAGGGTGTGTCTGCACTCATGCTTCAGGATGTCTGTTCAGCCTTGTGTGCACTGTGCACTCAATGAATGTGGACAGAGTGAAAGGGAATGGGAGGGTGTGTGCATGTGTGTGTGGTCTTCACTCTGTGACCATTGCAGAATGTACTTTAATGTACTGCCACACAGCAGTAAGCAGTTCTTCTGCGTCCTGTCGAGAATCTCAGTGGGTATCTGGTTGTGTTGTCGTAAGTCAGCGTGTATTTTAATGAATGTCTTTGTACTAAGATCAAAAGCAGAAACATGTGGAAAGGAGGAGTGAATAACGTGTTTCGTTGTTGGCTTCCTCAGGTTTATCTAACGCAGTCTGAGCCGAGTATAAAAAGCTAAAAGAAAAAAAGGTTCAAAAATTGCTCTGTCCAATCATAAACTTAGTCAAATTAAAATTGTTACAAAATGGTTTAATTGGAATCATCATTAAAGCAATAAAATATTTTCAATATCACCTTATTTTTCTCAGAGCAGTTGCATCAAAGGTGTGTTGAGCTTTCATGTCATCAGTGACACTATCTGTGTATGTAGAGAAGGGTTCCTTGTCAAAGCTGTCTTCTTTAGGATCCTGCTGTTACTTCTTAAGACAGTGTTAGGACACTCTTTA